GGCATGGCTCAGCAAGTGAAGCAATTGGGTTGATCGGTAGAAATTTAGTTTGATTTGTATTTGGCTGCTTGTGCTCTCTTGCCATTTTGCAAACAGCCTAAGGTGACAAAGACTGCTTTATTGCTTTTCATTTTCTGATCCATGGGAAGAAAGAACTTTGGCATGAAAACGATTATAGATACTTACTTAAATCATAGAGCACTTGCACACTGGATTAATAATATCAATTACCAAGAATCTCAAACAAACTCTATAGTCAATCACTAATTATCAATTTTTTTTTAATTATTACATCAGCTTATTGTGTCCCTTGGATAGTTGATTCTATCAGGAAGTGCACACTGGTTTAGTAAGGGACAACAATGGATTCTACAAGCTCTTGAAGTGGAGCTAGCTCCTTCTTGTCAATCAGTCCAAATTCCTGCATAAAAACAGTATAGTGAAATTTCCAAACAGTATTAGGATATGATAGTTACAAACATCATCATATACAGGTAGCAAAACTGCACAACCAGTTTCTAAATTGAAACTCAAACCAGTTTTTGGAAGGGAACAAAGTACATAAAATGAGTCTCAAGACTTGAAGCATACTTACACAGGTAAACAATATGAAATGCTTGAAGCAGGTATTTAGATGGGCCTCCTCTTTAAGACTTACAATCTTCTGGAAATGACAGTGATAAATATGAGCATAAACACAGAACATGCGTTTGAATATAGTCTTCACAACTTCTCTAAAGTTGGGAGGAAAGGGGGCACCTACAAAATTTAGAATAAAGAATAAACATAAACTAAAGGGAACAGAACAAACCCAACCGGGCAAAAAGCATAATCAATAATACAAAAATTAAACTCAAAGGTTCTTCAAGAAGATACTGTCTTTGACTTTTATCAAAAAAAGATTAATAATAAATAAGGAAACAAATCAAAACCATTTATTACCAAGCCTTTGAGGAAATATGGATTCATCATCTAATTGAGATTCGATCCAGTCCATCAAATATTCAACATATTTTGGAGCTGAAACTTCAATCGGTTTCTTGATTTGTACCCCATCAGCCCATCTGTACTCGTACCTATAAAGTTTTATCTACATGCAGTCAGGAACTATCAAACTAACTATGCTGTGTTGGTAATCATTCCATTGACAGTCATTCAAGCAATCCTGGATCTAATAGAGTTTTCTTTGCCTGTAACTAAAAAGCATCGACACAGATACAAGATACAAATACAACACTACATAGACACACTGACAGAAATTTACCCCAAAAGAAATAGACATGACACGACAACAAAAGCCTTCATTCTCAAATTAAAATGAAAAGTTTTCAAAAAAATTGATCGGCTAAAAAACTACAAAGACTCCATTGTGCAAATTCAAATACACTATTCTTAGAATATTATTTAGAAAATAAATATAATATCTATAGATTATTAAAAAATTAATCCATCTCTCATTGCATGGCAAATCAAACATACAAAATTGATCAAAAAGCGATTTAGTCTATAAATATTTTAAAAATTGTATACACTACAAGATATACTTTGCAAAAGGGGCAAAAAAATCATTAGAAAACTGTAACTTATGCTAATAGAAATTGGTCAATTATTTTGTATTATGTCACCCCCATGTTGACCATTTGCAGTAATCATATGTGTGAGCGTGTACACAGAGCTGATTGGAGAAGCATGATCTGCATAATTAACCCTAAGTACTTGACTTGGACATTTGTTAAGTCAAGTATGTGTGCATGAGAGCACACGCCCAATAATTACTTGAAAGCACAATCCACTTGAAGGCCAGCATTCGAGTTCCACTAGCATTGATTGCTAAAAAATCATGCAAGTTGTATGACATATTAATGGTATAAACAAAGGCTACAGTCTTTCTCATAGGGTCTATAAGGTGAGGTTTGGTTTTGGTGTTTTGTAAAATAAAAATACAGCAACCATATATGAAAACATAAGGAAACAAATTACAAAAAATGTATGAAAGCCACATTGATAACATAAAGAGTGTTAGGTGCACTTGTTTATACCGTCAACTGATGTAATTGAATAGACAACTCAATTTTTTTGGAATCTGACAATTGAATTTCTATAAAGTTGAATAACACCAAAGAAGCACGGACACTTCTAAAAAGATGACATATCCGTTTCGTGTCCGTATTGGACACCGACACTCTTTGGACACCCTTAGGACACGTGTCTGACACTCTTCAAAACGTGTCCTATTTTTTAAATTTTTTTAAAGATCCGGATACTTTTTGGACACTTGGAGGACACACGTGTCAATCATTCAAACACATGCGCCTATTGATTAGACACATGTGAAACTAATTATAAGTTTAAACAAAACAACTTAAGATACAATAACAAAACAAAAACCATATAAATTTATAGGAATTAGTGTCATATTGCATTTTTTATTATCTTTGAATGACATATTCATATATATATAACATATAATAAATATATAAAATTATATATTTCTTGTGTGTCCCCCATGTGTCGTGTCCTATATTTTTTGAAAATTAACGTGTCGGCGTGTCCGTATCGTATCCGTGTCGTGTCACGTGTCCGTGTCCATGCTTGTTAGAATAACACAGATGATGATTAGTAAGACATACTTGGGTCCCGCAGTCATTGTAGGACAGTTTTCTGGAGTGCAGAACTCTGTGAGGGTACCATAAAGCAAATTCACCTGGTTGAAGAAGTCCACAGCTGAAAATTGAAAAAGCAAACAGCCCCAGTTCAATTGATTCTCGGACAGAAGATTACTGCAGTATATGATTTTTTTTCTTTTTTCTTTTTGGTTTAGGGTGGTTGGGAAAGTAAGTTGAGTATTGGCATGTAAAAGATGCACCATGTTCATATGAGTCCAACACCAGCGGTGCCTGGACACTCTTCAACATGTGCACCATAAGCCCTTAATACATTTGGAATATATAAACTCATATTGAACCTGTGGCCAACACTTATACAATCCTTAATGTGTGGATGTCAGGACACTGTGTGTAGAAGTAAATGCAAAAAGAACACAAGCTGGTTTTCATACAACATACATCAAAATATAGAGACCTAATGTTTAAAAAAGAAAGGAAAAAAAATGAGGGTTTTAGTAAAGAAGGATTTCTTTAAGGAAGAGGAGGTGAAGAAGATGGCTTGCATGAATTATGTACACACATAATAAATGCAGATATATCATAACAGAGACATATATTATAACCTCCTGTATCAGCAAATAGTGAACCATTATCAAGAACGACGTGTGAAAACATCGATAGGACCATATCATACCAGCCCCTGTGCATGTGAAATCGATTAATAAATACGGGCATTCGCAACCTCCACATACCAACACTCCAATTCCAGAAAAAGAAAACAGGAGCCCCTAAGGCAACCAATTTATATAATATACTGCATAGTCTCACACACATAAAAAAAGAGGGAGAATAAGGAAGGGGAAGAGGGAGGGAAGGAGGGTTTATTACTATTGACAGCAAGCCATTCATTAGCATCCTCCCCAGGAGGGAGTCTTACTGCTTCTCTTAGGTTTCCACTTCCTAGCGTCGCATCAATGTGCTGTCTTAGCTGTGCCCCCTGCAATGGGATATAATGCAAATAAGATATGGGCATACGAAGTAGTGTAGTTTAGGCTACAATACAGAAGCACGAAACCCAGATGCTACAATTCACAGTAAGAATTCCTGTATATAAAAGAAAAGGGAAGAATGCCAGTATGCCACTGTATATTCCCGTAGTCCTTTGATACAATAGTGCTGTACCACAATTGTTTCAAATTGGTGGTGTAACAACCCCAGACCTTAATGACTGAAGGAATAACTCCCAAGATGGTAAATTTCATGCTGTACCACATTAAACAAATCAAAGGGGAAAAAAAAAACAAAACTACACTAAATGCAAAAAATTCAAGTTGGATAAAGAGAACCACCTTACTCCCTGAAGGTGCACTTTTTTTCGGGCGAAATGTCCTTTGGTTCCTATTTGCAAACAAAACAAACTAAAGTGTAAACGTAACTAATCAATAGAAGAGGAGGATTATCAAACTTTAATGCAAAACTAAAAATAATTTGAACTCAAGAATTTGCTGACTATAATTAATATGTGAATGTCCTAGCACATACGAAAAAGCAATGAACTCACTCACATCCATATTTCATCAAATACACTCATAATCACATTTCATCAAATGGTGGGGGGGGGGGGGAACAAAACTAAACAAAGAGATGTCCATGTTCATATGGTTGTAAGCAAAAGGATACTCCTTGCATAAAGAAAACATGTGAAATGACACAGCACAAGTAGGATAATTTGAGCAGGTATAAGATGAATTTTTCCCTTAAAAGTTCTAATCATCTTTGTACTACATAGATTTTAAGGAATTATTATTATTTTTAACATCGGAAAATTGAAGACCTTTTTTAAAAAAAAAAAAACGACGTGTGAAAAAATCGATAGGACCATATCAAACCAGCCCCTGTGCATG